TTCCTCGTGGCCCTGTCCCCCTCTGCACCGTCTCCCTCTGCACCCCGACCTCCTGTGCACCCCGACCTCCTGTGCACCCCGTCCCCCTCTGCGCCCCGCCCCCCTTCCTCGTGGCCCTGTCCCCCTCTGCACCGTCTCCCTCTGCACCCCGACCTCCTGTGCACCCCGTCTCCCTCTGCGCTCCGTCCCCATTCCTCGTGAACCTGTCCCCCTTTACACTCTGTCCCCGTCCCCTTCTCCACCCCGTCCCCCTCTCCACCGCGTCCCCGTCCTCTTCTGCACCCCGACCCCCTCTGCACCCCGGCCCCGGCCCCCGCGGCCCCGCGCCCACGGCCTCCACCCCCTCCGCCGGCCCGCGCACCGCCATCTTGCCTCCGGCCGATCTGCGCAGGCGCCGCGCCCTTTGACCCGGCGCGCAAAACAGCGCATGCGCGGTGCGGAGCCCGGGGCGTCGCTGGGAAACTGGTGCCTTCGGCTGCGGCGGGACCCGCGGACATGGCGGCTGCGGCGCTGGCGCGGCTTGTCACCGCTTTTCTGTTCCTCGCAGCCGAGGTGAGGGCTCCGCGGCCCCGCGGCCCCGCGGCTGCCGCCCTCGGCCCGACCCCCGCGCGCCCCGAGCCGGCTGTGACCTTGCGGCCGCGGCCCCTCTCCCCCGGGCCGCGTCGCGGGGTCTCCGGCCGCTCCCGGGCCCTGGGGCCTCGGCGGTGCCTGCCGCCCTCCCAGCCGCGGCGTCCCGCCCGCGCGGTGGGCACGACGTTGCGCGCCCCGCCAGGTGCGGGGAGGCCCGGCGTCCGGCGGCCAGCGCGGCCTCCCCAGCCCGGCAGCTCGAGGCCGAGTGGAGAGCCCGCCCTGGAGGGGGCGAGCCCCTGCCCCGTCTTTTACCCTTGACCTTGGAGGAGATCCCCGCCTTGAGCCGAGGCTGCGGGTCCGCCAAGGGGGCGTCTGGGGTGCGGGCCAGGAGCGGCCGCGCCGCTGACGGTCGGGTCCCAGCGGGGACAGTCCCCGAGCTAGCCGGCGCACGCCGTCAGAGTGATGTCCCGTCTCCGGGCCTGCCCCCCTCCTGGCTGCCGCCGGGACCTTCCGCCCGGGTTCTGGCCCTCGGCCTCTGCCGCCGCTCGCCGCGGCCCAGCGCTGTCCCTGAGGAGCCCCAGCAGCTGGCCCTTTCTCCCCGTGGCTGCTTTTGCCCCCCGCCCACCTCCCGGGCGTTCTCCCCCAGGCAGGACTGCGGCTCACCCCGTCAGGTCTAGTCGTGTCCAGGTGCCAGCCGTCCAGCGGCCCCCATCCCTTACCACGCCCTGTGGCCCTGTCAGCTAGCTGTTCTGAACGGAGGTGGCTCACCGACGGCCGGCGGCCCTGTGCTTCTGTCTTTCCTGTCGCCCTGCTATGCCCCCCATCCTTTCAGCCTTTGTCCCACCTCCCCGCTGCTTCCCCAGCCCCTGGCTGTGCCCCGCGGCGTCCCATCTTAGGAAGGGGCTTTGCACTCTCCAGTTATTTTGAATGAGGAGAAGGCAAGAGAGGTGGCTGCAGGATTGTGGGGACACCACAGAGGGCAGGAGTGTTTGCTTGGAATTGTCCAGGTGAGGGTGCCAGAGCAGGAGTGTGAGCTGTGATCTGCATGGAGATGGGAGCTGCAGGCCTGGCATGTAGGCTGCTTCAGTGCTCCAGGGAGAAGTGTCCCCTCACACACCAGAAAGATGTCTCTACAAAGGAGGTGTTTCAGATGGACCTTGGAGGGAGGCCAGGGCATCTCCCTCAGAACCGGAGGAGGGGAGGCTGGGAGTGGCCCCAGGCAGAGGGTAAGGGCAGGACAGAGCCTGTGGCCCTCAGGCCAGGTGATGGGAGGCTTGGTGCTGGGCTGAGGGCTGAGCACTTCATGCTGTGCATGGCTAAGGACAGCAGCTGCCACCCCTGGTGTGTCCAGGTCCTGCTCCCAGACAGGTCACTTCTAGGACATTGGAATCCAGGTGCACAAAAATGAGACCAGCTCTCCCCAGGTGGAGAAGCTGGGTGACAATCCTGAACTTGCTGGTGTTTTCTGACCCTGGGCAGGTGGAACATTCATAGTACGTCCCTCTTTCCAGTTAGGACAAGTGGGTGCAGGGTAAGGTCACAAGTGGGGTCTGCTGCTTAGTGGCCTGTGGCCCACCTTCCCTGCGGTGTCAGGTACTTCTGGTGCCTCTGCAGCGGCTCCGCGGGATTTCCAGGCCTTCTCGTGACTGTGAGGCGTGCAGGTGGCTGTGACGTGGGGTCTGCCCTGGGGAGGCCGTGGTCTGCTGAGGTCTGCCCTGGGGAGGCCGTGCTCAGGCTTACCTGGAACACAGGGTGCCTTTGCAGCTGGGTCCTCTGGGGGTCTCCTCCCAGGCCCTTTAGTGCAGCAGGTGGGAAACTTCCCAGGGGGCCCCTGTTTCCTGGTGGCTGAGGGGAGCACAGGCTTTTCGACGGAAACTCAGTCTCACAGGCTGTGAGGAGGGAAACTCATGAATGCACGTGTGTGTGTGTGTGTGTGTGTGTGTGTAAGTTGTTGGTGGAGGACCGTATTCTATTCATTTATGTATATGCACTGCTGAGAATCGAACTCAGTGAGGCAAGAGCTTTACCACTGAGCCACGGCCCCAGCCCCATTTTTGTGTTCTTTTTTTTTTTTTTTTTAATATTTATTTATTTTATTTTTAGTTCTTGGCGGACACAACATCTTTGTTTGTATGTGGTGCTGAGGATCGAGCCCGGGCCGCACACATTCCAGGCGAGCGCGCTACCGCTTGAGCCACATCCCCAGCCCCACTTTTGTGTTCTTAAATGACCTTTTTGAAGCGAAGCAGTTTTAGTTGTCAATTCTGTTTTGCACAAAAGACACTTTTCACTAAAAGCCACGGTCCCCCAGAGTGGTATGGCGCTGTCTCCTGGGAAGGGCCCCTGGGTTTGGCTCTGTGGGGCACATGGTCCCGTGGCAGCTGCTCGGCTTTGCGCGTGTGGTGGGGGAGCCTTGGACCTGTGCTCAGGGACGTGCTTGTTCCAGGCAGACTACAGACAGAAGGCAGACTGGCTGGGCTGTACACTCTGGGCCCCTCCACGGCCCACAGACCCTTCCTGGGACAGATGCCAGGGGCTGTGGGAGCTTGTTGGGAGGGCCCAGGGCTTCCAGGACACCAGGGGCCATACTGACAGTGTCCTCAGTGGGAACCTTGGCAGGGGGAGCTGACCAGAGGTTGTGGTTGGGTGGGTGTGGGACCAGGCGCGGGGAATGAAACTGCTGTCCTCAGGCCACCCCTCCCCTTCTCCTGAGAGTGCTGGTGATCAGCCACACTGTCCAGCTTCAGCTCGGTGCCCCGGGACACACCCAGCAGCCTGTGCGGCAGACAGGGTCCTTATCTCACTGATGGTTGGCGCCAGGGGCCCAGCACCCACCTGAGACAACAAAACCAGCAAAGCTCCAGAGCTGGCCTTGTGGCCCCGTGGCCAGCAGTTTGGGATGTGGGGCTTGGGGCCTCATGTTGGCCCAGGCCATGGGGTGGGCCCTGTGGGCTTTTACCACCCTGCCCCTGGAGGGGCCCAGGTCCTCACAAGAAGCCATCAGGGCCCTGGCCAGGCCAGAGCTTCCCTTCCCCCCACCCTTGTCTCTGCAGAGCCCTGGGGGCCTGTGGGGCCTGGTGGTGTGGTGGACCTTGCCGTGCCAGTCTCCATGGCTGGGGCAGGTTGGCACCCGTCCATGCATCGCCAGTGCCTGCTGCCTGCTTGTTTCTGTGGCTCGTCCCCAGGAGACACTAAGTGTGTCTGCCGCGGCAGGAGGGAGCTGCAGGAGCCTGGCCCAGGAGCCCCAAGTGTGTGGGTGTCCAGCTCTGAGAAGGCCGGGGCCTCTTCTGGGACCCCTGTCCCCTCTGCAGCCTGCGAGCTCCCCAGATCACCAGGGCCCTCTACCATGGGCCACACCCTCCCCACACCCCGACTTTTCAGACCCGAGGTGACAGGTCACTGTGAGAGGGAGTGTCCTTGTCAGACGCTGGCAGGGCTCCAGTGGGCCAGGAAGGAGCCTAGGCAACAGGAGGCCGCGTAGCCACCCGGAGGACTGAGGCCCAGACAGGCCCCGGAGCCCGGGCCCGGGGGAGGGGGCGAGGGCATGGCAGGGCTTTGGGTGCAAAGGTGTCTCCCCACAGCTGTACCCTCTTCTGTCCCAGGCCACTGGGCCACCCTCAGGGGTCTCTTCATGTCCTGCCCTCTGCCTGAGTTCCAGCACTGTTCACAGCTGCTGTCAGCAGGTGCCAGGCGGTCACCTGGGGCTTGGCAGAGAGCGGGGCCGGGGCCGCGGGTTATCAGCTGTGGCAGCACTGCGGCCTGGAGCAGGGTGCCGCACCCAGCCTGCCCGCTGGGGGCCCTGGGTTGTGTCCGCTTCTTGCCTCATTTTCCCAGGGAGCTGATGGGACGTTGAGCAGGGGTCCTGACCGGGGCCCGCTTGTACTGGTCTCTTGACCAGCTGTAATGCAGACTGTGGATGGGGGACCAGCCCCCCGTTTCTTGGAGTGCCGGAAGCTCAGTCAGACATCCCGCCCTGCCCCACAGTCCTGGCCATTGCCCCCCGGCCACAAGTGACCGCCAGGGCCTGGACACAGAACTGATGTGCTGCCCTCTCCCCCAAGACTTTGGCTCTCCGGCCGTCCCTGCTGGTCCTGGGAGGCCCCATGGGGTGGGGCCATCCTGGCCATGTGTTGTTGATGGACCAGGCTTTTATTACCTGTATGTGGTGCTGAGAGTCGGACCCGGTGCCTCACACAGGCCCTGAGCCCAGCCCAGCGCCACTGTTGGTGCAGAGACCTGGGACCTGCAGGTCTGACCCACAGACGGCTGTGGCCACCCGGGTCTGCCTGGGAAGCGACTCCTTCATGCCCTTGCTCTCCCCCAACCCCCACCTACAGTGTGGCGTCAGGAGCGGGTGTCGCTCAGTGGTCAGTGCTTGCCTGACCTGCTCCTCGTCCTAAGCTCCTGGCCCAGCACCACAGGAAAAGTACGTGTGTGTGTGCACGTGCGTGTGTCTCCTTTGTATTCTTCTCTGTCCTGCTGACAGGAGGATAGAAATGTCCCCAGCCACCTTGTGAACACAAGCACCCCATCCCCAGATGTCCTCAGGTCCTTGGGTGCTCTACCTCGTGGGGTCTCTGACTGGCACCATGTCACCTCTGCAGGTGGCCTGTGAGTACGGCATGGTGCATGTGCTTCCGGAGAGTGGGACCCCCAAAGGCAAGGACTACTGCATCCTGTACAACCCCCAGTGGGCCCACCTGCCGCAGGACCTCAGCAAGGCGGTGAGTGCCGCTGCCCGAGGCCCCTCCACCCACCCAGCTGGGGTGTCGTCGGCCTCGCCCATGCCGTGGCCACTCTTCCTGCAGCAGTTTGTGGAAAAGCCAAGTTAGCAAAGCCAGGATGCAGACCCTGGGCATGGGTCACCTGCCACTGGAGCCTCAGTGAGCCCCTCTGGGCCTCAGTCTCCATGGTCGTAAATGAGAGCTGTCCAGAGGCCTGCTGGGAGATGGGCCTTTCTGCCGCTCTGGGCATGGCCAGGACAGGGTCAGGGTCCTAGGCCTGATGGGAGATGGGGGGACCCAGACACAGGCGTGCCTCTCTGCCTGCGTTTCCTCACGGCTTTGCTCCTGGCCACCACCTGCGCCGTGCATGGATCGCACCTCAAGCACGCGTCTCCCTCTCAGCGGCCATCTCTCTCCTCGGAACAGATCTGTCCTCCAAGCGTGGCCACCTCTGTGTGTGTGAGCTGTGGGTGTGCGTATGTGTGTGCCACAAGCTTCGGGATGTGCCTGCAGGTGGGCGTGGGCGTGAACGGGTTGAGTGCCCAGCTGTGCACGTTGTGGGCTCACGTTTGTGTGTGCGCAGTGTGTACTGTGAGTGTCCTGTCCCTTCCACAAACCAGCTTGTGTGTGCTGCCCCAGGCTGGGCAGTCTCTGGGTGCCAGGCGCCACCTGCACATGGCAGGACCTGAAGGTCTGGCAGCCTGAGTCGGGAGGGCAGCTGCTTTGCCAGGAATGCAGAGAAGGGGGCTGCGTGGGCCACAGGGGGCACCCGTCCCCAGCCTGGGGTCTCCCAAGGCCACCTGAGATGCAGGGAGATCCTCTGCCTGCAGTGCACAGTGGCAGCATCTGGCTCTGGGCAGACTCGGGCACGGCCTGGGCTTCGGGTGGCAGACCTAGGGCTTCAGCCTTCTGCTGGGCCCCTGGGAAGCCCAGTGTGTCCCTCCTGTGGCCCTCTGGCACAGCGCGGCTGGGCCCTGGGAACCCTGGGTTGGGGCAGGCGAAAGCTACCCCCCTGTTGGATGCGTGGTGGGGTCTCGGGCCGCCCCTCGGCAACTCAGGGCCTCGTCCGCCCTCAGTCTCTCCTGCAGCTGCGCAACTGGACGGCCTCGCTGCTGTGCTCCCCGAGCGACCTCCCCGCCAGCGGCTTCAGCAGCCAGATCCCACTGGTGGCCCGCGGGAACTGCACCTTCTACGAGAAGGTGCGGCTGGCCCAGGGCAGCGGGGCGCGCGGGCTGCTCATCGTCAGCAAGGAGAAGCTGGTATGGCCTTCTGTGCACCCTCGGGGACAGCGGTCACCTCCAGGGAGAGTGCCGCAGCCCAGTCCTGCCCTGCCAGGCTCTGCGCCTCTCCAGGACAGCCGTGTGGCAGAGGCAGGGTGGTCTGCTGCTCAGTGAGGGCTGCTCCTTCGGCTGCAGCAGCCAGCCCTGGGCCCAGCGCCGTGGGGGGACCCCCCTGGGCAGTTGGGCAGCACCAGGTGGGTGGAGCCTGTGAGGGCAGCAGGGCCGTGGGCCTGGGCGAGGTGAAGGGGAGCAGCTTGAGTCCGCATTCCTGAGGGGCCGCTGGGCCTTTGCCAGGGTCCTTGAGGGGAGCAGGGCTGGGGCCTTGCCAGGGGGCTTAGAGCCTGGCCTCCCTGTCCCTTCCACAAACCAGGGCTCTGGCTGGGGACCTGGGCCTGCAGGCAAGGTCTGGCCCTGAGGCGGGGGTGACCGCGTGCTCCCTTCTCCGGGCTCCAGGTTCCCCCAGGAGGCAACAAGACGCAGTACGAGGAGATTGGCATCCCGGTGGCCCTCCTCAGCCACAGAGACATGCTGGACATCTTCAGGGTAGGCCTGCACCTGCCTGCTCTGTGCCCCGGGGTCGGAGAGGGCGCTGGGCAGGGGCCTGGGCTGGCTGCTGCGGGTCAGGATGGTGGGTCAGTGCCTGGGAGGGAGATCCCGGGGCAGGGTCCCCCAGCCCCACCCGCCCCAGGCTCTGCTGGTGGGCAGGGCGGGCGGCCTGCCTCCGAGGTCAGCGAGGCCTGTTCCCTGAGGCAGAGCTTCGGCCAAGCAGTGCGGGTGGCGCTGTACGCACCCAGTGAGCCAGTGCTGGACTACAACATGGTCATCATCTTCATCATGGCCGTGGGCACCGTTGCCATCGGGGGCTACTGGGCCGGGAGCCGGGATGTGAGGAAGTGAGTGAGGAGTGTTGGGCGTGGGGAGGGCGGGCTGTGGCCATGGTGGTAGGTGCCAGGGGGTCTAGAGCTCCCGCACGGGCAGTGCCCAGGGCCCCAGCACATGATGGAGGTGGGGCAGCAGCAGGGCAGGGCAGAGCGTGGCCCTGGGGGTGGTCCACCCCAGAGCCTGCTGAGTTGCGGCTCCTTGGAGCAGTTCTGTCCCCACCAGGTCAAGGAGGTCCCCAGGGACTTGGGGGTGTGTGGGGAGCCCGGAGCTTTCATGCCCCTCTGTCGCCAGGAGCTGCCCCATTCTGTGGCCCCTCACACTCAGATGGCAGTTGGACTCGGCTGGCCAGTGGCCTGCACCATCTCCACTGGCCAGCACGAGGGCTGGTGGCTGGGAGGGCTCCTGTTCTGCCCCTGCGGTCAGAGCTGGTTCAGCCCGACCTGCCCCCGCCCCGGGCCTGACCCTGTGCCTGGTGACCTCGAGTCCTTGTGGTATCTTCCAAGAAGGTACATGAAACACAAGCGGGACGACGGGCCCGAGAAGCAGGAGGAGGCGGCGGTGGACGTGACGCCTGTCATGATCGGCGTGTTCGTGGTCATGTGCTGCTCCATGCTGGTGCTGCTCTACCACTTCTACGACCACCTGGGTGCGCCCCCCGCCCCCCGAGGGTGCCTGGGCAGGTGGGCGCGGGTACCAGCCTCACCGCCCTGCCCCCGCAGTCTATGCCATCATCGGGATCTTCTGCCTGGCCTCCTCCACCGGCCTCTACAGCTGCCTGGCCCCCTGCGTGCGCCGGCTGCCCTTCTGCGAGTGCAGGTGAGCCGCATGGAGGGGAGGCGGGCACCCCACAGGCATCGTGGTCCACTTCCAGGCCCCTGAAGCGCCATGCTTTGCCTGCCGACGGCCAGGACCCCCTCCCTCCTGTGCCCACCTGTCTCTGCAATTCAGGGCAGGGCTGAGAGGTGGGTGCTGGTTCTCAGGTCCCCACGTACCCAGACAGCGTCCCTCTCGCCTACTGTCCAGCACAAGGCTGTCAGCAGAGCCCACCAGGACCAAGGCAGTGGGGGACACAGCAGGAACAGGGTTCCCTTGCTCTAGGTACACGGCCGTAGGTGTCCAGGCTGCAGGGTCACTGTGAGGGGCAGGGAGGTACCAAGTTCAGCCGGCTGCCTGGGGCCTCGGCCTGTGGGGCTCCAGTGGGTAGCAGCCAGGCCTGTCGGGGCACCTGGCAGGCTGAGGGCCAGAGCCCAGGAGCTCCAGAGAGGGCCGCTGTAGACCAGGTGGGAGGCGGGTGTGGAGGGCCGGCACCCGGGGCACTGCCCAAGGAGAGGGGCTAGCCTGTGCTGTCACCCTGAGGGGGTGTCGAGCCTGTCAGGGTGGGAGGTGGGCAGGAGGACCCTGGGCGCCTCCACAGGGCCTACAGCACAGTGGGTGAGGCGGGCAGGCAGCCGAGTGGGTCTGGGTGGGGTGGCGGGGAGGGCTGAGGGGTGGGTTCCTGGTGCTGATGGGTGCTCCTCCCCAGGGTCCCCGACAACAGCCTGCCCTACTTCCACAAGCGCCCGCAGGCCCGCATGCTGCTCCTGGCTCTCCTCTGCATCGCCGTCAGTGTGGTGTGGGGCGTCTTCCGCAACGAGGACCAGTACGTCCCTCCTCCCTGCAGGCCCTGGGCGCAGGGCCCTGTCCTCAGGTGCTCCAGGCCGGGCTCCTGCAGGCACCCGGCTGGAGCCGCTTCAGCCTCGGCGTGAGAGCACGGCTCTGCTCTCCTGGCCCAGCCGCGGCCCCGCGGCGCCCCGGCCCCGCATCCAGTTTCACCTGGGTCTGGCTGGGTGCCACCGCCCTGATTGGAACCTGGATAGAGATGCCCCAGGCACCCTGTCCTCCTGCACAGCCAGGGGAAGGGGGGCGCTGCCCAGAGCCACCCTCGGTCCCCGACCCCATCTTGGCCCGGGCCCCACCTGAGGGAGCCTGTGCACACCCGCCCTCGGCCCCTCTCCCTCTCTCTGGCTTCCCAACCACCAGCCACCTCCCTGAGCAGGGAGTGCCCATGCTAGGGCCCAGGGACAGCTGGCCTGTCCCCACCCGCTCCCCCACTGTGCCTGCAGCCACCTGGCAGGGCCCTGGGCTTTTCTTGAAGCAGCCAGGCGCCTCTGGCTTCAGGGCCACTCGGAGCCCCAGCAGGTTGAAGTGCCAGAGGGGAGAGGTGCAGACACCTCGAGGCCTTTGTGGACAAAGGGAACGGGAGCCAAGGGGTTGGATGCAGCCGGGAAGCCGTCCGCTGCCAGGAGTGGAACCCTGCTGTCCCCGCACCTGGTGCAGTAGTGGCTGTCCCAAGCTGCCACGGAGGGGAGATGATCTCATTGTGTTCGGCTTGGGGGGACCGGTCCTGCAGGCAGCTGGCGAGCCTGCAGGTGGGGTGGGGGGTGTGAGGTTGGGATGGGAGGGGGCGGAGTGGGAGGCCACCTGGTTTTGTCCCTTGGCACTTGACTACATGCCTTGTCCCCAAGGCCTGTCCCCAGGTCCATTGCTCTCCCAGGGACCAGGGGATGATATCGAGCCTGGCTGGGCACAAGATTCTCTCTGATAAATAGCACCTCATGCAGCAGCAGCGGCAGGGTCCTCCCCCGGCCCCCTACCCCAGGGGGAGACTGTGACGTCACCCCTCCAGCCTCCCAGTGGAGCTGGGCAGCCCAGCCCTGGCCAGGCGAGAGGGGGGCTGCTCCTGGAGGTGTGCAGCCTGGCTGCCTGGTGGCTGAGGACCAGGTGCAGCCCTGTGGGCACTGGGGTGGGGGTGGGGGGTGGGGGCAGATGGTCAGCTGGGCACCTTCCTTCCAGGTGGGCGTGGGTCCTGCAGGACACGCTGGGTGTGGCCTTCTGCCTCTACATGCTCAGGACCGTCCGCCTCCCCACATTCAAGGTGAGGCGGGCGGTCCTGGGCGTCGCAAGCCCTGGTGGTGCTAGGTCCCCACTCCAGAGTGGCCTGTGGCCTTAGGGGCCCTGAGTGGGGACTCACGAAGAGCTGTCGCTGCCAGGCCCCTGCAGCCTCGGGTTTGGCTCTGCCCTCTGCCCCCTGCCCCTGCCCCCTGCCCCCGCCCCTGCCCGCGGCCCGGCCACAGCCCCTTCCTTGCCTCCCTGCGAGGGCTGCGTCCTGGGTGTGCAGAGCCCGGGGCCTGGCAGCCGTGCAGCGCAGGCGTCCCGCCCACAGGCCTGCACGCTGCTGCTGCTGGTGCTCTTCGTCTACGACGTCTTCTTCGTCTTCGTCACACCCTTCCTGACCAAGGTAGGCACCGCTGCCCACCCCCCACCCCGGCCCGCTCCTCCTCCCCGCCCTGACGCGCCCCTTCCCCTGCAGAGCGGGAACAGCATCATGGTGGAGGTGGCCACTGGGCCCTCGGACTCGGCCACTCGTGAGAAGGTACGGTTCTGACTGCATGGGCCTTGGGGCCGCAGGTGGTGGGCGTGGGCCGTGCCGGGAAAGGCTTCCCCTCTCTTCCTGTGCAGCTGCCCATGGTCCTGAAGGTGCCCAGGCTGAATGCCTCGCCACTGGCCCTGTGTGACCGGCCCTTCTCCCTCCTGGGCTTTGGAGACATCCTGGTGCCAGGTACTGGGGCTGGCAGGTTCCCGGAGGGCGGTGCTGTGGGACATCCCCAGAGCTGGGCCTGGTGCCTCCCGTGACAGGGAGCCTGAGCCCAGCCCCAACAGTCAGGGCTGCCCTGGAATAGTGGGTGGGGGACTGGCAGGGCAGGCATGCGGTGTGGGCGGCCTGGGGCGGCTGCCCAGGGACAGAGGCAGGTCCTTGTCCCTCCCGCTGCGCCCCTGCACCTAGGTGTGGCTCTCATGCTGGGCAGCTGCTCTGGCACACGGCAGGCCCAGGTCCTGGGGACCCTTGACGGTCCCAGGCCGGCCACAGTGGGGCCCCGGGTGAGCCGCGTCCTCACCGTCCTCTCTGCAGGGCTGCTGGTGGCCTACTGCCACAGGTTCGACATCCAGGCACAGTCCTCCCGGGTCTACTTTGTGGCCTGCACCGTGGGTAGGCACCGCACTGCCGCTGGGCAGCCGCAGCCCCTGGGCCTGAGTCTGTCCTCTGTTCTGGGGGCCTCGAGCTGGGCAGCTGGGCAGACCCATGTGGTTTTCTTCCTGGGTCCCCTTTGCCTGCTCTGTCACAGAGCCCTCACACGAGGTGCCGTGTGCCGTGAGTGTGACTGTCCCCAGGCTGGGCCGCCCCTTGTCGTGCTGTCCTGCCTCTGCACACGTGTGGACTTCCCAGTCGCCGACTGTGCCCAGCCGCTCTGCACACCCACCCAGAGCAGCCACCACCCTGCTGCCCGCAGTGCCACCTCAGGGCCCTCGCGGCCCTGCTCTCTGGTTCTGCCCCTGCCCAACATGTTCCCGGGAGGGGCAGGAAGGATCCTGGCCAGGCCAAGGTGACACCCCGTCTGTCCCTGCAGCCTATGGCATTGGCCTCCTGGTGACGTTTGTGGCACTGGCACTCATGCAGCGTGGCCAGCCCGCCCTCCTCTACCTGGTGCCCTGCACTCTGGTGACGAGCTGCCTGGTGGCGCTGTGGCGCCGGGAGCTGGGCGCCTTCTGGACGGGCAGCGGCTTTGCGGTGAATACGGGTTTGCTCTGACTCTGTGGAGTCCGCCCCAAGCCCTCACTGGGCCACAGTTGAGTGACACCCCTGCTCCACCGGGCCCCTGGTGGGGTCCCGCTCCTGCAAGGGCACGCTCTGGGCGTGCCCGTGTGGCCCGGGCACAACTGAGGCTGCGCTGCTGCCCGTGCTGACGCTTCCTCTGCCAGGGTCGCCCCTTCAAGCACAGCCCTGCCTGTGCGGGGGCGCTGGGCTCCGCTTCTGCCATGGAGAACGGGCCCAGTGGGCGCCTGCCCTGGGGGTCCAGGCGGTGGGTGTCAGTGGGCCACTCACAGGGGCTGTGCCTTGTGTCAGGCTCCCCTGGCACAAGAGCAGGCCAGTCCTGACACCCACTGACCCTCGGCTGGCACCGGGGCTTGGCGCTGGTGCCCGCACCCTGCAGGGGCTGTCCCAGGGTCGGCCTTGCCCCCAGAGTGAGTCGGTTGGTCCCTGGAGGGTCGGGGTCAGGCCAGGCCTCGGGCTGAGGCTGGGCCGAGAGGTCCCCAAAGGCTTTGCAGCCATTTGCCCTGGACCTCAGGAGCTGTGGTGGCTCCTGCAGCCCCTGTGCTGGTAGGCCCAGCACCCTAGCCCCCTACTGAGGGCCTCCTGCGCAGCTGGATCTGGACCTTTGGGGATGGCCACTCTGCTGACCCCCTGCACTACTCTGTGATTCGTGGGCTGTGGGACAGGGGTGCCTGTCCCTCTCATCAAACACCTCTCTTCCGCAGAAAGACCTACCTCAGACCCAGTGGGCACCGGCTCCTGCCGACAGTCCACAGCCTCCGAAGGACTCAGACGCCCCGCTGTCCCCACGGTCTGTCAGCCAAGAACCAGTCAGGTCCCCTATGCCCCCTGAGAAGCCCCAGGAACCGTCCATACCTGAGGAGACGGGGGCAGCAGCCCCTGCCCAGGAGCCCAAGATCCCGGACAGCAGCACCCCAGAAGCCACGCAGCCAGGGACCTTGGCCTAGGGAGAAGGTGCACGGCTCTGGACCCTCGCGGCCGCCACGTCACGCCGAGATGCTGGGGCTGCCTGTGTCTGCAGCAGACGTGGGTGCCACCGCCCCCTGGACAAGGCCTGCGCCGGGCCCCTCTCCTACATGGTGCTCAGTGCCCGGCGAGGTTCCCGCGGCCCCCCCCCCCCGCCTGCCCCCGCTGCAGCCGCACCCTGGCCCTCTCCAGCGGCTCCGCCTGCTTGGCTGCCCTGCCTGCCAGCCCTGCAGTCTTCCTTTGGGTCCTCCTCCTGGTTCCACGAGGGGTGCTTGTGCTCTCTGGAGCCCAGTGGGCGCTGCCCAGGTCCCTGCGTTTGGTGCTTCCCTCCTGCTGCCCCGGGCTCTCCCTGCAGGACTGCTCTGACGGGCTGACTCCTGAGACCCCTGGACCAGGTGCCAGGAGCCGTGGCCCCCGGGGCAGGAAGCAGCCACATCCCGGGGCTCCAGCTGAGGCCCAAGGGACGGGGGCCCGAGGGACAGGGCCTGAGGGACGGGGCCCGTGGGGCTGGGGGTGGCGAGCCAGGCTTGGGTGAAGGCAGCCGTCCCCAGCAGGGCCATCAGCCGGTGGCACGCGAGTCTGCCCCGTGGAGCAGGCCGGTCACCAGCGTCCTGGAGCGGGGGAGTAGGACTGGCCGAGGGCCCAGTCTTCACGGGTCACAAGTGTCAGCGTGGCACCTGGTGCCTCCTCTGTGGAGGGGCTTCTGGAAGGTGCGAGGATGACCCAGAGCTGGCCTTCTGCCCTCTACCTCATCGACTGACAGGGGCCTGAGCTGGAGTTGGCCCAGGTGTGGCTGCTGGGCCTGCGTCTCGCTGCACGTCCCCACTGCAGGCCAGGAAGGCGACGGAGCCTGGCGTCCTGCAGCCTGCGCACATCCCCACGTGGCCCCTGCCCAGGGCAGATGTGCCAGCACTGCAGACGGCGAGCGCATCTGCCTCCAGGGAGAGGACGAGGATGGCCCTCCCCGAAAGCCACCGCCAGCGCCTCTTAGCCGCTCCTGTCCTGGAGGGGTGAGCCTGGCCAAGAGCAGCGGTTCCTCTGGACGCTGAGGTGCTGGGCGGGACCTGGGGGCAGGCGGCTGCTTCTGCACTCAGACTGCACCCTGAGCCGCCCGGGGCGGGTCAGGGCCACGTCCTCAGGCCGGGGTGGACCAGGGTGGACTTCCCAGGCAAGCGCCACTCAGGGTTGGCCTTGCTTCTGTTGACTAAGGATTAAACGTCGCTTTTGGTATCTGCCACTGGCCCTGCTGTGGGGTGGTGAGCTGTGGGCAGGAGGTGGCCGTGTCCACTGCTGTGTCCAGAGCACTGCGCAGGTGCAGGGGCCCTGGACTTTGTCAGCCATGACCACGCCCTGAGGGGAGTCAAGTCAGGGCCCCCCCGCGTGGCTGCAGGTGTCCCCACGTGGCCTGCCCTGAGGGCCACATGCTGCTGCTCTGCTCTGCTGCCACTTGGAGGGACACAGGACCTGGGATGTGTCCTGGGGCATCTTCACGGGTCACAAATGTCTTCCGACCTGCAGACCAAGACCACGTTATCCTGAAAACATGGAGACCTGGGCACGGGCAGCGAGAGCCCCGACCCTCGCCAGGCCACCTGCCTCCAGGCCCTCCTGCCCGGGGGAGGGGGGTGCCGCTGGGTAGGTGCCAGCTCGGCCAGCGTCGGCCCCCTTGGGCAGAGTGACACGACCTGGCCCCTGGGACTTGAACATAGCGGTGCCAGGTGGGGCTCAGGCCCTGCCCTGCAGGAGGGTGGCCTCCTGGGGCCCCCAGGGCAGCGTGGCTGCCAGTGTGAGCCGGTGGCACCCCCACACCGCGGAGTCTGCTGAGGCATCCAGGCCGTGTGCAAGTCCTCCACAGTGGCCCATCCTGCCTGTGAGAAGGGCCACACAGGCGCCTGGTCCTGGGCGGGTTGCCCAGCCTGTCCCCTGCCCTCCGGCAGGCACAGCGGCTGAGGGGCCTGGCCTCCACCCCGCTCGGGGATGGTGGTCACTGGTGCCTGGAGACCTGTGGGGCAGGGGCTTGGGGACCCCAGGAGCCACGGCACGGTGGGGGTGGCCGGCCAGTGGGGCGTGTGAGGGGAAGGCCTCCATCCACACAGCCGCCTGTCCACCGTCCCCACCTGTTTCCCCAACACCACCGGCCTTGGCCGAGCACCTGCGGTGTGCTGGGGACACCCCTGGGGACAGAAAACGCTGCATGTGCCCCCCAGGCCCAGAGCTGCCCCGGGTGGCGTCCTGCAGCCTGCGCGACAGGGACAGGGCGCCCGTTGGCTCAGAGGACTTGGGGTCACCTGGGGGAGGACCCTGCTGGTCTTGAGGGCAGCGTTAGGAAAGGTTCCTGGAGGAGGTGACCCAAGGAGCCTAGGGGACCCTGGAGGAGTCTCCCAGTCCCGGGTGCCCAGCTGGAGAGGTGGCAGGTCCCCGGGGCACGGTGGGCAGGGGGACTAGTGAGATGTCATCAGGTGTCCAGGGCCTGCCTGGGTTCTGGGGAGAGGAAGGGCCCCTGCTGGGCGTCCTGCCGCCTGAGCCGTGTGGCCAGCTCCTGGGGGTGCAGCTGCTCCTGGCACAGCTGTCCAGTCGTCCCGGGACAGGGTCGTCCCGGGACAGGGCCATGCTCCTGTCCAGCACCAGCAGCCGGGGAGCCTGGCCCAGGAGTTGGGCCAGAGCCAGGATGTGGTGCCCGACCTGTTGGTGGGGGAGGGGCGGGGGGCGGGGTGAGTGGAAGGTGGCACCGACCTGCGGGACGGCATCGTGGCTGCAGGCTCACCTTGTAGGTCACAGGTGTGTGCTACGGCAACCTGAAGGCGGCTCCAGCAAACCCCAGCACGGCCCTACCAGAGCCTGTCCCCAAGAGCGGGGGTGGGGGGGACAGCACCCGGGGACCAACAGGAGGCAGAGCCAGGTGGCAGGGGCACTGTGCCAAGAGCTGTGGAACTGTCCGTCCTGAGGAGACCACCAGGAAAGTCCCGATGCAGGGCCACACCAGGCTCCTGACAGCCCCAAATGTCCAGGGCCTCAGAAGCAAGGACAGTCTGAGAAGTGACCACAGCCCACAGGAGCCAAGGGGACGTGAGCACTGATGTCATGTGGGACCTGATGGGGCCCAGACAGGGGACCCAGGAAAGTGACCCTTGTGAATAAAGGGTGAATGTGGTCAGTGCCATGGTGCACACCTGTCGTCCCAGCAGCTCTGGAGGCTGAGGCGGGAGGATCACAATTGAGGCCAGCCTCAATAACTTGGTGTGCCCTCGAGTGTTCCCGGGCTCAACCCCAGTGCCAGAGAAGCATGGCTGTACCCAATTCATGCACATCCCTGTCCATCAGTGCCCCTGCTTCCTGGGGACACCCTGAGCACCCCTCCCGCCCTGTCTACTGGGCCTGCTCCGGTGGCCGCGCAGCAGCCCGACAGACCAGGGACAGACACCCTCTTGACTGTGGCCACCTCTGACCTTGGCCCAGCTCCTGTGGGATCCGGGGCGGCAGGACTCCCCTGGCAGAGCCTGACCCAGGGAGTTGGCTCCTCAGGGAAGGGGCTTGGCCGGGGTCAGGTGGGAGGAGAGGGGCGGAGCCTGCCAGAGCCGCCCGCGGCCGCCCTCCAGTCGGCCGCACCTGCTGGGCTGGGCTGCAGTGCATCCTCGGCCTGAGCGTGGGTGAGTCGGCTGCCCTGGCCGCGGGGGACACCAGGCTGCGCTGGCCAGAGCGTGCAGGCTGCACAGGGGTCGTGGGCTGGTCGGGGGTGCGGTGACCGGCCGTGGGGCCCCGGTCAGGGTGGACCGTGTAGAGGGGGCAGGACTCCCAGGCCTCTCCACTGCTCCCGGCTTTCGGGTCCTCTACCCACAAACGTGCCCAGAGCAGGTGGGTGGCCCAGCAGCGTCCGGAGCCGGGGGCTCTGGAGGAGGCCCAGGCTGCCTCTGACCCAGCCCTGGCCCCACGCCCGCCCTGCCAGGGCTGGGCCTCAGATGCCGCAGGGTGAAGGTGCCAGAGACGTGGGTGGCCCTGAGGAGGATGTGGTCAGAGGCCTGCAGGGAGGGGCCCCCGGCTCCATGAACGTCCCAAGTCAGTGCCGCTGCCCACCTGCGGGCTGGGGAGCGGAGGGGCCCGGGGGCCGTGCCCAGGAGGTGCAGGGCTGGGTCCTGGCCTGGCCCCAGGAGAGGCGCCACAGGGGCCCAGCTCCGGACGCTGGGTGGTCCCCGTCCCTGTCAGGGCGCAGCTTGGGGCACTGAGGACGGGGCCTTGACAGGACTCAGCCTCCAAGAACGACCCCACCCTGCTGGCCAGTGGCCCTGGCTGGCTGCGTGTGACCGTGAGGTCCCATGTGGAGCTGTGCGTGTGATTCTGTGTGGCTGGTGCAGTCGAGTCTGTGTGACGTGTGGCCGTGGGTCTGGGCATCGTGTGGCGGCCGTGCCTCATGTGGTTGGGATTGTGCTTCTGGGGGGTTCCATATTGGTGTGTTTGGTGGTGGGCAGCTGTGTGTGCGGCTGTGCGTGTGGCTGTGCGTGCGGCTGTGCGTGCGGTTGTGCGTGCGGGTGTGCATGTGGCTGTGTGTGTGGTTGTGCTGTGGCTGTATGTGCGGGTGTGCTGTGGGTGTGCTGTGGCTGTACGTGTGGGTGTGCTGTGGCTGTGCTGTGGGTGTGCTGTGAGTGCGTGTGGGTGTGCTGTGAGTGCGTGTGGGTGTGCGTGTGGCTGTGCTGTGGCTGTGCTGTGGCTGTGCTGTGGGTGTGTGTGTGGCTGTGCTGTGGCTGTACGTGTGGGTGTGCTGTGAGTGTGCTGTGGGTGTGCGTGTGGCTGTGCTGTGGCTGTGCTGTGGGTGTGCTGTGAGTGTGCGTGTGGCTGTACGTGTGGGTGTGCTGTGAGTGTGCGTGTGGCTGTGCGTGTGAGTGTGTGTGTGGCTGTACGTGTGGGTGTGCTGTGAGTGTGCGTGTGGCTATGCGTGTGGGTGTGCTGTGAGTGTGCGTGTGGCTGTACGTGTGGGTGTGCTGTGGCTGTGCTGTGGCTGTGTGCCGTGGGTGTGCACCTGTGTATGGGACAGGGAGATGCCGGCCGCCTGCTCAGACTGCAGCCACCGTGGGCTGAACACAGGAGGCCACGGGTGGAAGTTTCTGGAATCCGACCACCTGGGATCAGATAAGAGCCGCTCGGGGAGGCGGGCCGCAAAGTACAGCGGGGGAACAGGCGATGGGAGGGGGCAAGGCTGAGGCCACGGTGGTGCTGGACACTGTTGGTGAAAAGTGACAGCTGACCCGGGCTCCAAGCAGGTGACCACCCTGTGAGGGCAGAGGCACAAGCAGGAGGCTGCCCCGAATGTGCCGTCCTCCTGCCTCAGCCTCCTGAACGGCTGGTGGCAGGCGTGGCCGCTGCGCTCTGGGATCAGGAAGGCCAGGCAGCCCAGTGATGGGGTCATGCCCAGGCGCTGCGCGGCTAGCCGTGCCAGGGAGCCAAGTCCCTCCCAGCCACATCGGCCAAAGCTCAGAGAACCGGGCTGGCCTCTCCCTGGCTCCCTTTTCCAAGAATCAGTCACTACCTGCAAAGGGAGGGACAGTGGCGATGGATGACCCGCTGCAGCTGAGCATGTCCCACGAGGAGGCTCGCAAAGTCTAGGGGGACACTCAGTGAGCAGGGCTGCCGGGGGCAGAGCAGGGTGCTGCCAGGTCAGCAGAGGGCACAGCCGTGCAAAGGCCCCGGGGTCGGGCCCAGGCCCAGGCTGGCGGGTTGGAGGCCCAGGCCAGGTGGCACGGGGAGGTCTGAGCTGTGGCCCGTACCAAGGTCAGGCCAGGGAGGTGAGGCGGGAAGGGAGGCTGTGACCCCCATGCAGACTGGCTCGCTCAGCGAGGGGCCGATTCCAGAGGTCGCGGAGGACGACGGCATTCCCGGGGGACCTGGTGGTGTGCGTGTGAGGTGCGTCAGGAGAGGCCCCGGCAGTGCAGCTGTCGAGGGGGGACGCGGGGAGGGAGGCCATTCAGGAGCAGCCTGCCATCCCCAGGCTCCCTGGGCTCAGAGCTGCCTGGCCCTTCCCGGTGGCCAGGTGGCTGTGGGCGTGGCCCCTCTGCTCCCACAGTGGGGTGTGGAGGACGCAGGTGCCCCTCAGGAGGGGACCGAAGTGCTCCTGGGCTCTCTCCACACAGTCACCCCAGGGAGGCCCCGGTCCCCAGGTGGACCTGTGTCAGCAATTCTGGTGACAGGCTGGAGCTGGCAGACATCAAAGACTGGGTGGGGCGGGGCAGGGGTGCCCAGGTGCAGGTGTCC